TTAATGTGACTATTTTAATTTCATAAGGTTATTTTTACAGCATCGATGTTGTAATGTATTTACAATACATTCAGTTACATAGACCTAAGCATTAAAAGTTATTCAAACGTTAATCAAGATGAAAGATTGTAAGCGCTAGCATTATTGAAAATACTGAGGTAAAATAAACTGTCATATTTTAAAGATATGGCAGGGGAAAATGGTGAGTGCTTCTTGTCTGGTCTGAGACCCACTACATATCGTATATCTATCAGACAGTGAAGAAATCAGACCTTATATGTGGCAATTTTACAATGGAAAGACACTGCACTGCACTGAGGCTGGCTGGCTGAAATTAAAAGTCTCTGCATAAACTGTACCCCGTTAAAAATTTTTATTGACAAATTATAATATAAATATCAATCCATTTAAGCACTGAATATTTTGGCCAATGCTTGGCTGTTTTCTTCACACGTCACACACTTTTAGGTGCATGAGGTCTAGAGTTAATCAAAAACTTTGGGTTAAACCCTGAGTTAACAGTCTTGTTTTCCTGATCTTAACCAGATTGCATTTGTTTTGTTTTGTCAACCTGAAACTTGCACTGCCTGACAAGTCTTGTCAGCAATCCAATTTTATGAACAACAAATAATAACTTAAATTCTGGTTAATCATTTGATATCAGAAGTGTCTTATATGAAAGGCAAAGACCGCTAGATTACACTTATTTTACCAAAATATAATATGATCATGCCCTAATTTTTCATTATCTAATTAGAACAGCAATGCCTGATTTGCTTAGACAAAACTCTTGTCACTTATATACAAAAATAATGTACAATATAGAATATAAAGTCATGGTGCAGTGGAAAAAAAATTAATATTGTGTATGACTCCCATGAGCTTGGAGGACTGCATCCATACATCTCTGCAATGATTCAAATCACTTATTAATAAAGTCATCTGGAACGGCAAAGAAAGCGTTCTTGCAGGACTCTCAGAGTTCATCAAGATTCTTTGGATTCATCTTCAATGCCTCCTCCTTCATCTTACCCCAGACATGCTCAATAATGTTCATGTCTGTTGACTGGGCTGGCCAATCCTGAAGCACCATGACCCTCTTTGCTTTCAGGAACTTTGATGTGGAGCTGAAGTATGAGAATGAGCGCTATCCTGCTGAAAAAATTGCCCTCTCCTCTGGATTGTAATGTAGTGGGCAGCACCTGTAATGTAATGGTCTTGATACCTCAGGCATTTGAGCCATCCACTCTGCAGATATCTTGCACGCCCCCATACTAAATGTAATCGCAAATCATGATTTTTCCTTCACCAAACTTGACTAATTTCTGTGAGAATCTTGGGTCCATGCGGGTTCCATTAGGTCTTCTGCAGTATTTGTGATGATTGAGATGCAGCTCAACAGATGATTCATTGGAATAGTCTACCATCTGCCACTTTTTCCAAAGGATCAACTAGACGTTAAGTTATTATTTGTTGCTCTTACAACTGGGATCGACGACAAGACTTTTGTCAGGTAGTGTACACTGAAAGTTTGTACACTCAAGTTTGTTTAATTCGTTTTGTGCAACTAGACTCCAATAGGACCTAATCTGCAATACTTTATGAGCTGTGTTGGACATATTTACAATCTACTGCTGTGCATTTTATTGGAAATCCCCTCTGAAACCAAGGCTGGTCGACCAGCTAAAACAAGCTAACTAGCTTAAGTTTACGTTTGCCGCACGTCACTCATTCAGGAGCATGCGGCCAAGAGATAATCAAAAACTCTGGGTTAAGCCCTGAGTTAACAGCATTGTATATCTGCGAGTCTCAATTATGCTTGTTTACGGCTGGTTACTAGGTTACCAATACTACAGTCAGCCACTTTATCAACTTGATAGAAATGCTAATTCACCTTTTTTAATTTTTATTTTTGCAAAATTTTAAGAGTATTCCCTTTACATTAGGAAGGAAACCTTGCTACTGATGTCAGGCTTACAGAAACCCTTCTTCTTCATGTCAAAATAACTAAAAGCTTCCAGAACTCAAATACAGCTACAGCATTTTAGGATCAAAGTTGCCACTGTTCTTGGGCAGCCATTGAAGTAAATACAGATGTGTTAATTACACACTGAAAACCCTAAAAAGTAGACTGAACCAAATTAATTGAGTAAACTCATTGCCTCAATTTAATAGAGTAATGGAGTTTCCCAAAACTTGCATATTTAAGTTTATTTAACTTGCCGGTTTTGTAGACTATAATTAAATTGTTCAGTTCACCAAACTTAGTACTATATATATATATGTGTGTGTGTGTGTGTGTGTGTGTGTGTGTGTGTGTGTGTGTGTGTGTGTGTGTGTGTGTGTGTGTGTGTAATAATATACTGTGAAAAAAATGTTTAAATAAATTTTAAACAATAAATAAGTGGCCTTTTATTCACACTATGATGAATAATTATACCCAAAGCCATTTTTTTCTGATTTAAAAACCTTGAAACTTAAAAGTTGCACATATTAGAATTTTACAGTCAAGTTTGTGAACATTACTTATTTTTTTCAAAGGATTAATTATGATTTTGAGCTCACTAAACTTGAAATCTTTAGTTTATACATTGTATGGTACAGTTTTTATGGCAGAGTTAAATTAAGTTAAATTAACTCATATTTTTTAAGTAATAGGACCAAAATGCTAAATTTTAAGTTGTGTTCAGTCAACTTTACTTAATTGTTTAAGTAAAGACAACATTAGGGTTTACAGTGCAGGACCTTCCTGTAATCTATTTATGATGTGTTTTTTGACTCCAATGTTAGATCAAGATCAAAAAACACACTGATTTGACTTCGTTGTCAGTTGACTACCTGGATGTCAAAACACAATCAAAGTTGACTTCTAACATTGCTTTTTGCATTTTGACAAGTTTTTGATGTACTGAGATGGCAAAGTTCGAGTGACGTTAAAAAAATGAATCAAGTCCTGTAATCATTTTGGCATGTTTTTGATGCAACGTTAGATCAACATTAAAAATAAAAATCAATGTGATGTAAACTGACTGCCTTGATGTCAAAAACATCAAATTGACATCTGACCTTGCCATCATAAAACATGTCAAAAAACCATTGCAGGACTTACCTGTAATCGATTTTATGACATGTTTTTTGACTCCACATCAAAAAAACACGTCAAAAATGCAAATCGATTAATTGGCTACAAACATTTCAGTTTGTTACTGATGACTCATTTCAGGCAGTTCAGAATCAATCAAGACAATAAACATATTCATTATGCATTTTGGCCTTTAAAGCTTTAAAGACTTTTTTACATTCACAAACACCTACATTTCACACAACACACAAAAAAAATAGTATCTGAAAAAGCATTATAGGTGCACTTTTTTTCTAGTTCTTTATACAGCACTACGTGACACAGAAAACTGGTCTGTTTATCTAATATTTCTAAAGAATGCACAGTGTGAAGAGTGATAAGTTCTGCTGTTATAGTTGAGGAATTTGCACCTGTTCACCTCATAAACGTCTCCTGTCTGTTTGACTGGCGGCTCATCAACAGATTTTTTTTCTGCTTAAGGGTTTTAGGGTAAAGTGTTTTTAGGATGATATTTTGGAGTATGGTTTCCAAAGTTAATGTACATACTAGCATGAACAAGAAACACTACATTTCAGTGGTGTCATAGATCACAAATCTCACGGTTCAGATTACATTATGGTTTTTGAGTCACAGATCGGACCAGTTTTCGGATCAGCCAAAAAGTATAGGAGACAAATGTAATTTGCTTTCCATATAATACAAAAACAGTACTGCAAAAAATGTTTAGTTTTAACAAAAAGAATAAAATAAAATGAAGAAATAATCAGCTGACTAAAATTAAATTGTAAAATATTCAGTACTTTAAAAATACTACTACTTACTACTACTGTTACTGATAACACTAAATGTAGAAATCTAACATTATCATTTGTACTGCCCATATTAATTTTAGTCTCATTTTCAATAAATGATTCATAATTCACTTATAAATCTTTATGTTTCATTATTAGATGATCATTTTTGAAAAAATTTTCAGTGGCACATTTTTAATGGCTGGTTGTCGCCACCTATTAGTTAAAAAATGTAATTGCTGCCTACGACTTAAATTATTGAGCGTCAAGTTAAATGCATATGATGGTGAATTTAATCTTTACCATAAACCTCAGTGATTTTGTCTAAACTGTAAACTGTTATCTCAGTACTTCAGTGGTTTTTGACTGTTTGTAACTTCATAACTAACTCAAAAGACTAAAGACTGAATCTCTTTCTTGATTTTTGTATTTTTCAAACACAGATCTGAATGCAGAAATTCAAAGGATTAATAAACATATGCAAATCACCATCATTTATAGTTTATGTTGCGTGGGTGTTGTTGAGATCCATATCTTTTAATGATTAATCACGCAGCTTACACTGAATGTATTGATGCAGGCTAAACAAGTAGTATCAGAAAACTCCTTTAATAACCTAAGAAACCCACCACATCCTGAATAACCCACCACAACTTCTTCCGCATCATTATATTTTAAATATATACATGTAATTTAAATGAAATGAGAGGTCATCTCTCTGCGATTGTTACAAAAAATGTATTAATTCGCTCACGTGTGTTCTGAACCATGGGTTGTGATCCGTACGAACCACAGATCAACAATGATCTGTTGAACCCTTACTTCACTGTACAACCCAACAGTCAACTTTATCAAATAAAATGAGTGTAGTTAACTCAAAATTGACGGAAAGTTAGTTTTACTCATTTGATTTCAGTGTTGAAGGTAATAAGGTAATTAACTACCTCATTACTTCAACTTAAACGGAGTAAGTTTACAGTACTCATATAGATTAGTTTTTTAAACTCAAATGTTTTGTAGCAATCAGTTTCCTTAAATGGTTTGAGTTGCCTTAACTCATTGGGTTTTACAGTACTCAGTTGGATTGAGTTCTCTTCATTTATTGGGTTTTACTGTGCTCAAAATACATTGTTTACTCAAATGAAGTAAGTTCACAGTACTCAGTAGGATTAGTTTTTGAACTTAAATGTTTTGTTGCAATCGGTGTCCTGAAATGGTTGGAGTTACCTTAACTTATTGGGTTTTACAGTGTAGATTTATCACAGCATTTATGCTCACACTTTACAAAAAAAATTCAATGTATTTACTAACATGAAGAATGAGCAATACAGTGTTTATTAATCATAGTTCAACATTTACTAGTACATTATTAAAATCATATCTCATTCTTATTAACATTAGTCATTGCATTGTGAGTTAACTTGAGCTAACATTGAATGACTTTACTTTTATTAACTTACTTTAACTAAGGTAAATGAATATGGTAATAAATGTATTATCCATTGCTTATTATTATTAGTACATAAAATAACTAATAAAACCTTATTGTAATATTTTACTGTATTTATTCTTTTTTGTTAGTGCTAGGTAACAAAAACAAAGTTGTAATTCTCAGTGCATTAACTAATGTTACCAAAAAACTATGATTAATAAATGCTGTCAAATATTCGTAGGTAATAGTAGTAAATAGGGTACATGAAATGACATTAACTAATAGAACGTTATTGTAAATTATGACCATTTATACTAAGTTGGTTTTGGCAGAAAAGTGCCATTGTAATATTTCCTTCCAGCAAAAGCACTTTTGAGATTTACTAATATAATTGTCATAATTGGATTTTTCTCTAAATCTCTAAATTGGGGTAATTATGTAGCACTGTTATATATCGCATTGTAGGATTTCACCATTGGGGACTTTAAAAAAAAAAAAAAAAGCAACCTACCTGAGGTGAAAAAGACAGCAAATCTGCGATTAGCCCTGAATTACCCTTCCACTCCTTGCGTTTTAAATAATTAATGCCAATCAAAACCAGAACCATTACATTCTTTGATGGAATGATCTGTTCTGAGATAACAGTTCACAGTCACGCCTACCAATTATTGCCAAATCTCATCTTCAGTTTTCATCAGCTGTCTTATCGTTCAACATGTCACTTTGAGTTTCTGTGACGGCCTTGTAGTTCTGCTGAAATTCATGTTTCGTGTCTTCGTTCGCTTGATGAAGCTGACGATTGCGTTTTAATATCTTAGTTTCTGTGCCATGTGATGAATCCTCCTGTCCTTCCTTAACATCGCTCTTGCGATCGGTCAGATTCAGATTATGAATTCTACAATGCTTTATGTCCATTGCAGTATCTGGGAAGTAAAAAAAGAGGTCACTAGCAATAATATAGAATGAGATTTGATATACTTTGAATGCAGAGCGAAGGCCGTCAATACTCCTTCATACACAATATTTGGTGTCAACTTATTGTAACCCATCAGGCATCAACATCAAAAAACTTGATATTAACTGACTTCCTATTGACTACAAATTGTCATCTCACATTAACGTAAAAAAAAAAAAACATGTCCAAAAACAATTACAGAACTTTCCTGTAATCAATTTTGGATGTGTTTTTATGCCAATGTTAGATCAACCTTCGTATTAGTTAAAAAAACACATCTAAAATCCAAATTAATTAATTGACCATCTTGATATCAAAATGTCATCAAATTGACATCTAAGATTGCCGTAAAAAAAACACGTCTAAAACAATTACAAGACTTTCCAGTGATTGATTTTTAATACGTTTTTTAATGCCAACGTTAAATTAACATATAAAAAACATCCAAAAAACTCGACTACTTAATATCTTTTTTCTTCATTATTTAAATAATGTTTTTTAACAGAGCAAGGAAATTTTCACAGTATGTCTGATAATATTTTTTCTACTGGAGAAAGTCTTATTTGTTTTATTTCGGCTAGAATAAAAGCAGTTTTTAATTTTTTAAACACCATTTTAGGGACAAAATTATTAGCCCCTTTAAGTTATATTTTTTCTCGCTAATCTACAGAACAAACCATCAATTAACAATAACTTGCTTAATTACCCTAACCTGTCAAGTTAACCTAATTAACCTAGTTAAACCTTTAAATGTCACTTTAAGCTGTACAGAAGTGTCTTGAAAAATATCAAGTCAAATATTATTTACTGTCATCATGACAAAGATAAAATAAATCAGTTATTAGAAATGAGTTATTAAAACTGTTATGATCAGAAATGTGTGGAAAAAAATCTTCTCTCCGTTAAATTGGGGAAAAAATAAACAAGTGGCCTAAAAAAACCAGGAGGGCTAATAATTCTGACTTCAACTGTATATATATATATATACACACACACACACACACACACACACAACCACACACACACATATATATATATATATATATATATATATATATATATATATATATATATATATATATATATACATAGTTGAAGTCATAATTATTAGCCCCTCTGTTTATTTTTTCCCCAATTTCTGTTTAACGGATAGATTTTTTCAACACATTTCTAAACATAATAGTTTTAATAACTCATCTCTATTAACTTATTTATTTTATCTTTACCATGATGACAGTAAATAATATTTTACTAGAGATATTTTAAGACACTTCTACACAGCTTAAAGTGACATTTAAAGGCTTAACTAGGTTAATAGGTTAACCAGGCAGGTTAGAGTAATTAGGCAAGTTATTGTATAATGATGGTTTGTTCTGTAGTCAATAAAAAATGAGGTTAAAGGGGCTAATGATTTTGACCTTAAAATGGTTCATAAAAAATGTAAAACTGCTTTTATTCTAGCCAAAATAAAACAAAAAATAAGACTTTCTCCAGAAGAAAAAATATTATCAGACATACTGTGAAAATTTCCTTGCACTGTTAAACATCAATATTTAAAAAAGGAAGAAAAAAAATAAAGGGGGGCTAATAATTCTGACATCAACTGAATATCTCATCCAGTCCATATAATAAATTACACCGTTATCATTACCTGGTTCTTCGAGGAAATGTACAAGCTCCTCCCCCTTGTCTGACTGTCCAATCCAGTCTTGATTCTCAGATACAGGTGAAGATGCCTTGCGCTCAGTATTGATCTCATCATCAAATTTACTGCTGCTGTCCACAGTTTTAACCTCATTAATCATTCCTGCTGTCTGTTCATCCTCAACAATAACACATATCTCTTTTTTATGTCCCTGTCCTGCTGGCGTGGTATCTGGGCTGTTTTTGGAGTCACACGTCATGTCTGTCTTGTCACCTTGATCTCCTGCACTGCTCAGGTTGGAAAGTTCTGGCTCAGCCTGATTGTTTGGTAGGTTTACTTCGTGTGAGGTATCAGCGGAGCTCATCTGCGTGGTTGAAATGCTTTCAGAAACAGATGTGTCGATGTATTGAGATGGCTTTATAAAATGGGATTCTGGGTAGGGTAATAAATCCTGGGAGCAAAATGTATCAGCACTTGATTCGGCTTTCTCATTTGGTTGATCACTTTTCATCTCTTCAACATCTGCTTTCTCATGTCTCTTTATAACCTCTGTATATGATTCCTCTTTCCTGAGCACACACACATTCACTGCTTTCATCATGTCCTCTTGGTCTCCTTCATTGTCATGTTTCTCGATGATGTTGCCATATTGTATTTTTTTACCCTCTCCATCTACTGGTTTACAATCCTGATCATGTCTTTTATCAATTTTACAGTCATTTTCTATCAAGTGTTCTGACATAATATTTGCATTTTGTATTTTTACATGTTCTTCCATTCTTCTGCCATCCTTACCATCATGTTCATGATTCCGTAAACATTCTTCCAAAATATTTACAGGTTGTATTTTTTCCATTGGTTCTTCATCTTGTGCTTTTTCCTTTTCATGATCTCCATATTGTATGTTTTCACTCTCACAGTCTTCTGTCATGTTCAGTTCCCGCTCTTTTTCTCCCTCCAGTTCCTCTGCAGTTTTCCCATCTGTCATTTTCTCAACTTGTTGTTTTTCACTCTTGTGTTCTTCCATATTTTCCTCCCCACAGTCTGTCATAATATTCACACATTGTGTTGTTTCAGTCTCAGATGCTTCCCTGATGTTCTCCTCCTCTTGTTCATTTATATATTCTTTTATGAAGTCTCCATATTGTATGTTTTCACTCTCACAGACTTCTTTCATGTTCAGTTCCCGCTCTTTTTCACTCTCCAGTTCCTCTGCAGTTTTCCCATCTTTCATTTTCTTACCTTCTTCTTTTTCACTGTCAAATTCTTCCATATTTCCCTCTTCACAATCTGTAAGAATATTCACAAATTGTGTTTTTTCAGTCTCAGATGCTTCCCTGATTTTCTTGTCTTCTTGTTCATATATATATTCTTTTATGAAGTCTCCACATTGTATTTTTTTGCTCTTACAGCCTTCTGTCATTTTAAAATCCTGTGCATTTTCTGAGTCCTCTACTTCAGGATTTGTTTTTTCAATTTCCCCATATTGCTCATTTTCTTGTCTAAATTCGTCTTGTATTTTTTCAGTCTCAGATCCATCCATGCTTGTCCTGTAGTCGTCTTTTTCATTGCCAAATGCTTGCACTGTTTTTCCATCTTGTTTTTCTTCATTTCCATGTTCAAGCATTTCCTCACCGTGTTCTTTCTCATGCTTTCCCAAACTTTTACCATCTTGTTTTTCTGATGTTTCTGTCATTTTTCCACCTTGTTCCTTTTCACTCTTAGTTTCTTCAAATTTTTCCACCACCATTTCACTGTCTTGCTCAAGACCTTCAATATTTCTTACATATTGCATGTTTTCTGTCACAGATTCTTCATGAGAATCATGCTCCTTCTCACTGTAAATTTCCTCCACATTGCTTTCATGTTGTATCCTTTCAATTTCGAGTTGTCCCACATATTCTTCCTCACATTTTTTTACCATCTGCTCATTTTCTTCCTCAGATTTCATCATAGTCTTCTCATCTTCGCTCGTATATTCTAAAATAGTTTTGGAAATGTGTATTTTTTCACTCTCATAATCTTCTGTATTTGTCCAATGTTGTAATTTTTTACTCTTTTGCTCCTCCATGATGCTTTCATCTTTCATTTTGTCAAACTTGAGTTCTTCCACAATTTCCCTATCTGGTTCCTGCAAAGTGTCATGGTTTTCTTCACATTTTTCTAGCACTTTTCCATCTCCTCTGATAGATTTTTCCATAATTTTCCCATTATTTATTTGTTCCATCTCCAATATTTCCATGCTTTTCTCATCTTCTTTTTTGCTTTCAAATACATCCACAGTTGTATCATCTTTCTCATGCTCTGTATATTTTCCCAAACCTTTTCCATCTTCATCTATGAATTTTGCATGTTGTATTTCTTCACTCTCTTGTTCCTCCAAAAATTTCACATCTTTAAATTGCTCCACATTTTTGCTAACATCATCTGCTTCTCTTTCGTGTACTTCCATAATAAATCCATCTTGTTTTTCTTCATTCTTAATTTCTTCCAAAATTTTCTCATCCTTATCTTTTCCACTTTCAAATTCTTCCACATTTTTCTTCACTTTAATTTCTTTACTTTCTTGTTCCTCCAAAAATGTACCATCTTGTTTTTTTCTATCTATAAATTCCTCCATAATTTCACTCTCAAGTCTTTCCATAATATTTTCATCCAGTTTTTCTTTACCCTCAACTTCTTCCACATTATATCTTTTGCTCGCTTGTTCCTCCAAAAATTTCCCATTTTGTTTTTTTCCATCTTTAAACTCCTCCACAGTTTCACTCTTAATTTCATCCATAATATTTTGATCCAGTTTTTCTTCCCTCTCACATTCTTCCATTTCCACATCTTGTTCTCTTTGACTCTCAAATTCTTCCACATTTATCTTCACTTTATTTCCTTCACACTCTTGTTCCTCCAAATTTTTCTCATCTGGTTTATTTCTGGCTTTAAATTGCTCAAGAGTTTCCTCAAGAGTTTCCCTCTCATGTCTTTCAATGATATTTTCATCTAGTTTTTCTTTACTCTCAACTTCTTCCATTTTCTCATGCTTATCGTTTACACTGTTAAATTCTTCCACATTTTCCTTCGCTTTATTTCCTTTACTCTCTTGCTCTTCCATAATATTTCCATCCAATTTTTCTTCACTCTCAATTTCTTCCAACATTTTCTCATCTTGTTTTCTTTGACTCTCAAATTCTTCCACATTTTTCTTCACTTTACTTCCTTCACTTAATTGTTTCTCCAAAATTTCTTCATCTAGTTCATTTCCATCTTTAAATTCCTCTAGAGTTTCCTCAATTTCTCTCTCATGTCTGTCAATAATATTTCCATCCAATATTTCTTCACTCTCTTGATGTTCTCCCAACATTTTCCCATCTCTTTCTCCACTTTCAAAGTCTTCCACATTTCTCCAAACCAGTTCTCCTTCAAAGGCATCGACAATATGTCCTTCTTTTTCATCTTCACTCTGACATTCATCCAACATTTTCTCATCCTCTTCTTCTCCTCTCTCACATTCCTCACTTATCGCTTCATGCTTTTCCTGAATCGTCCCTTCATATTCCTCACAATCCATCAAATTTCTTTCCTCAATATCTTCTTCTTCCTCAACCGTAGAGATAACCGAAGCCCGAGCAGTAAAATCTCTCTCAATTTCCAGATCTGTCAGCATTCGCGGAGCAACCGGCAGCGCAGGAAGAGGTCTTGATGGTGGAACCAAAACAGAAGATGAAGGAACAGAAGTTTCTTCAAGCTGATCTTCTGGAGAATCTTCAAAACCAGGCGGAGGTGGAGGAAATTCAATCACTGTTTCTGGTTGTTCATTCAAATGGAGCTGCTCGGGAATTGGTGGAGGTGGGTAAAAGACCAGACTATCTAATATTTCACTAATAGGGCTTTTTAGTTGAGGTTTAGTTGGAGGCAGTGGTGGAGATTGGAGTTGTGGTGCACAAGTGGATACGGCAAATGACACCATCAACTTGGGGGAAGATATTTGGATTTTGCTTTCGGCAGATACCATTGTGCCATTAGGAAATGTAGTTTTAGTGAATATAGTTGGGCTTTGGGTTGTTGGAGTTGATGGAAAGTGAGGAGGTATTCGACATGATAATGGTGAAGATGAAGATGATGACGATGATGATGGTGGTTCATTAAAGCTGAAGATACTGTCTGTCTGACTGCGATTGAGTCTTTTCAAGGGACTCCTGACTGCAAAATGAAGATCACTGTCAGTTGCAAACAGTTGCAAAACATGTAGATCACTGTCATTATAATCAACAAATCTGTCTGCATGCATGTCAGATGGCTGTAATGTGACGCAGTTTGACTTACTGAAAACCCAATTTTTTTTCCTGCAGATTTTTTGGTCATTGCAAGTCACATCTGATATGAAAATGTACATAATTACTGGTTCAATGTGTAAAACTATTACCATGCATTGTCATACAACATATTCTTAAGTAGCTGGTAATGCTTAAAGGGATAATTTACTCAAAACTGACAATTCTGTCATCATTTACTCATCATTCACTTGTTCCAAACCGGTTTCAGTTTCTTTTACTGATGAGCACAAAAGACGATATTTTGACAAACGTTGGAAACATGTAACATAGAACTTGAGTAGTATTTTATAGTATGGTTTTCAGTGTTCTTCAAAGTTTTTTTTATTTTTTTTTGAACAAAAGACACCATAAATATTTGGAACCACTTGAAGTTGAGTGAATAGTGAATCTATTTTTATTTTTGTGGGTCATTTATTTGTCCCTTAGTCCCTTACTTTTTCCACAGCGGAATGAACCGCCAACTATTTCATTATATGTTTTACCCAGCGGATGCCCTTCCAGCTGCAATCCAGTACTGGAAAACACCCATACACACTTTCATTCAAACACACACTCAAACACTACGGCCAATTTTGTTTACATAATTCACTTATAGCGCATGTCTTTGGACTGTGTGGGAAACTGGAAACTGCGTTGGGGGAGGGGGGTATGGGGGTATAATTATTTAATAATAATATTAAATTAATTAATGCATTATGAATTCTCATTTCTACTGCTTAAATCTTGGTAAATGTTCTATGTTTAGTTAATTTCATATTAATCCACACACTACTATTCAAATGTTTTCTCTTTTGTGCAATAAGTACATTTATTTGTTAAAGCTACATTTTGAAGTTAATACAAATTACATGAACAGTTTTTCTGTTATGATGTATTTATAAAATATCCTTTATTCTTTCGATGTGAAGCCAAAATTTTAAGCATAATTACTCCAGACTATAGTGTGACACGATCCACTTTATTCATGATTCAACAAATTTATTTGAGATAAAAATCTTTTGTCAATTCTGCTATGAAGACATTTTAAGTACAGTTCAGATATTTTTTTTATTCAGTATTAGCTTATATACTGGTTACACTTAAGTTTGAGAATCACGTTTAGGCATGGGCCGGTATAAGTTTCTGATGGTATGATAATGCTGGATAAAAATATCATGGTTTCATGGTATTTAGGTATTGTGATTACTGTTCTAAATTAAGTGCTTTTTAAATGGGTAAAATACAACTTTTTCCCCATTAAAGAAAATATATTTTACTTTAGGAAACATTTATAATATTTAGTAAAAGTAAACATGTCGAGCTAAATAATTATAATAAATAAATGACTTCTGCTTTCTTCATTAGTTTCAAAAACCCAGATTTTTTTTACAAAACATAAAAAAAAAAACTGGGTTTCCTCCAGGTGCTCCGGTTTTCCCCACAGTTCAAAGACATGCGCTTTTTATTTTATTGATTTAAAGCAGAATTTCCCCTCCAGTATCATACAAATAATTGTTTTTTCCAGATACAAAACATTCAAAAACCATTTATTTGAAATATAAATATTTTGTTTCAATGTAAAAGTCATTTTTGTCATTTAATGCATCATTGCTGACTAAAACTTTCATAAAAATCATAGACCCCAAACATTTTGAACATGGATGTAACATTATTAAACATTAAACAATATTAAACATTATTGTAACAAATAACATTATGAAATATGACACAAACACGTAAATTAATCATTACTCATCTGTTGTTTGAATATGAAAATGCCCTATAGACCATTTTGAGGGATGTAAACAATAACACTAGTCCTAACGTATTTCTTGTTTTACATGTTTAATTTCCATAGCTTCTGAAATTCCAAAAAGGTCCACTTATTGGTTAAAAAAGTTATGATAGCTGTTTTTAAATTAAAATATGATTGAATTGCCTTTTGTTACAATTATGAAATAGTTTAATAACAAGCAGGAAATGTTATAGGCCAATGACATTACCACATTGAAAAATGGTGTATAAATGAACTTGGCTTTGGTAAAAGAAGTTCTCAGATGTGCAGTTAATATTTCAATCAATGCTCATTTTTATGTCAATGCTAAACTGTACCTGGACATGGCGAGTTGGGACGGGAGCCTGTTTGGATGCTTGAGGAAGACAGTTGTCTAAAAAACTCTCTAGGGTTTACAGGTCGCTGTGAAACCAGAGCTGCTGCCTCCTGCTGGATATAAACAGTATTACAGATTTATATCATGACGTTCATTGGCTACATATTTGGGGGCGGGGCTTGGAGGGGGTTCAGGTTTGATTGACAGGACTCACAGCAGCTTTTTCTTCCGATTCAGAGCGGGAAGATCTCACTTCTTCATCTTCGCGCTCCCTTTTCTGGTGCTCCTGTTATGTAAAAGAGATGAAGAATATTAAAACTTATAAAAAATAAATAAATAAATAAATAAATAAATAAATAAATAAATAAATAAATAAATAAATAAAAATTAAATAATAAAAAAAACACACCACTTGGTAGACTTTTGTTTCTCTGGATTCGTGCTTGAATAGAATGTCAATTTTATTTTACTCTGTAAATAATTGTAGACATTTCTTTCAAATTTTAAATAAAAAAATAATTTTAATATATACTTTTAAAAGATAATTAATTTAATATAATGTCATTTAGGGGTGGGCCACTCTGTTGTGCAGTGGGTAGCGCACTTGCCTCACAGCAGGAAGGTCGCTGGTTCGAGCCTCGGCTGGGCCAGTTGGCATTTCTGTGTGGAGTTTGCATGTTCTCCCTGTGTTGCCGTGGGTTTTCTCCTGGTGCTCCGGATTCCCCCACAGTCCAAATACATGGCTATAGGTGAATTGAATAAGCTAAATTGTCTGTAGTGTATGGCTGTGAATTAGAGTGTATGGGTATTTCCCAGAGATGGGTTGCAGCTGGAAGTGCATTCGCTGTTTAAAACATATACTAGATAAGTTGGCGTTTCATTCCGCTGGGGGTGACTTCAGATTAATAAAGAGACAAAGCCGAAAAGAAAATGATTTTTTTGGGTGAACTTTGCCTTTAATTTCGCCTTTTCTCACACATACAGAAACACACACTCATCATACCCATTTGATTTTCTCCTGTTTGTGAGCTTCTGCCTCCAGCTGGGCCTGTATTCTCCTATTTAAAAAGAGTTTAAAAGTTTACCTTTTACCTTTTTTACTGTTTAGTCAATGAATGCTTGAGAAGGTGTGACTGACCTCTGCTCCTTTATTTTCTGTTCTTGTTGCTGCATCCTCCTCTCTCTCTCCGTGGCTTCTCTCTTCTCCTGGATCATTCGTTCTCTCTCTCTCTGTCTTCTGTCCTCTGCTGCCCTCCGCTGTTCCTCCTTTTTCCTTTCCTCCTCTTCTCTCTGGAAAACATGGTCAGAAACAACTGATCCTCTTTTTCAATTTTTTACCAAGGGCTGTTTAATGGAGAGAAGAATATTTTAACATAATAGTTTTAATAACTTATTAATAACTTTTTTTCTTCTGTCTTTGCCATAATGAAAGTACATTATAGTTTTTTTTTGCCAAGATACTTCGCTTAAAGTGCAGTTCAAAGGCTTAACTAGATTAATTAGGGTAATTAGGCAATCATTAGACAACAGTAGCCAATCAATAAGATTTATTATTATTATTATTATTATTATTAAAAAGTACTTAAAAACAAACATAGGTCCTTGAAAGTGCTTGAATTGAATTTGAAATTAAATTTTTTCATAGTGTTATTTTAAAAAGTTGTACTGTGCTGCTTTCAAAATAGAACAAAACAAGTCAAAAATCTTAAATCTATAATAATTAATGCAAATTTTATCAATATTTCTGAAACCATTTGAATATTACTAGTATTGATTTTTTTTATTTGTATTACATTTCTTAAAGATTTTATTCAAATGTAAGAAGGGATTAAAATACATTTTAGTTTAATTACTTTTTTGTTTTTAAAAATTACACATTCAAAATAACATCATTACTGTCATTTGTAATGTAAATATAAAATACAATTCTAAGTGTGAATTATAAAGGTGTTGATTTAAAGTTAATGTCCTTGAATCTTCTGCACATTAAAAAGTGGGAACCCTATGTATATTCATAAGCTAAAAGGTTTCCCTGAATTGAATATTTGCATAAGCAATTGGGATTGTTTATAGTTTTTGGAACCAGAATAGCTTATGGACGGTCGTAATTGTTTTGTTTACTGGTCTAATTATTGCTTTTTATTTTTTGTAATAAACCTTGCATTTTGGGGTAGACACTCAAATAATTATACACTTTTATTATGTCATTATACCTTTTGAATTATGTTGCATTTATAGAGAGTTATGACAAGCTAAGTTTGTAAGTTTGTAAGTTCCATATCTGGTAAATATACGTCACTGATGTTACTGGGTAAGTCCTAAAGTGGTGATGAGGTCTTAATGTAAGGAAACAGTCCTTAAAATGTATTAAATTGTATTACATTTAACCTGTGATACCTATTAATATTGTGTTTGTAACTCGTTTCATGTTCAAATCAGATACAATCAAAGTAAAAATAAATTTAAATTCAAAATTAAAAAAAACTAATGTTTTTAAAAATGTTATGGCAATGTTTTGCTATATTACGTAATAAATTTTGTACTTTTCTATGAATAGTTCTTATGAATTATAAATATATAAACTGTCAGCTTTTTAAAAAAAATAAATTAAAACTTTCAACTTTTTAAAATTAGTTTAGTTATTATTATTATTAATATTATTATATGGTTATGTATTGACAACAGTGTTTACTAAAGATATACTATAACATACATACTTCATAATAACCATTAAACAAAAATAAACAAAACTAAAACTCCCTCCATACCTCCATTTGTGCCCAGAAAGAATCTCTCTGGATCCTCTGAATCTCTGCAGCTGCGATTGTCCGCTTGTAATTTGTGCCCTGGAAATAATTCAGATATTTGTTTACCATTTTTTTCTGATTTTAATTGCATTGATTTGCCTGACTGGCTATATGCTGATCTATCAACATCATTTAGAATTAATTAAATCTGCCCTGTTGTGGTAACAGTCTCATACCACAGTGGCATGTCTGTCTTCGGTCCTGCGTCCAGGTCTCGCTCTCGACCCCTGGGGCACCCCTGCAGATTTGCATGCCAGAGCACAGATTCGCTCCTCTGTGATTTCATCCAAAGTGTGGGCAGGGAGAAAGATGTGCACTTCCTCACATCACAAAGACAGAAATGTTTGACTTGTTTTTATATTGTCACTCTTTCATTTTAAAAATAAAATCAAGGTACATATTTTTCTCGTTCAGTTTATGCATCTTTATCCCCAGTATTTACCCATAATCCAACCCTCTTTTACCTTAAAGAAGGCTCTGATGGCTGGTATATGACTTTGACACTCAGCTCTGCGATACTCCTCCACATCCTTTCCCACCTGAGAAACCACAAACACTGTTTGAAGAGGAATAATCAAGAGTGTTTTACATTAAACAGTGAATTGTGGATGAACTGACCCATAATATCATGACGAAACGCGGTTGAGCTTTGCCTACCCTGCACATCCCATACAGTGGCAGTCTAGGGTTAAGTTTTGTTGACAACTCTTTCAATCCGCCTACTATAAGACACACAGTATGAAAACGGGGCCCAGAAACGTAAGACGTTATTTCAAAGACATTCAGCATGCTCTTACCTCCAGAATCAGCCAGTCTGAGTCTGTTCATTATCCCATCATAGGTGAATAAAGCCCTGTTCACAGAGAAAGAAATGGTCACAGAGAATATTAAAGGCTCGTGTTATTGCATTAGGATGGATAACTCGATTTGCAGTGCATGCTAGTTCTCTTTTAGTAACAGTCGTAGGAAAGGTTTTGTACTGATGTTGGAGTTTTTAGGATGTTATGCATGGTATTAGAAGGATTTCGGAAGGATCATATGATTATGACTATTCTGAAAATTCAGATTTGGCATCACAGGGATATATTAAATATATTTCTATATATTAATATAGAAAGACGTTAATTAATTGGTAAATTAAATTAAAATATTGCACATAAACCATCTAGACATATACCTGTTTATAATTTTTTTAATCAGATAATTTGTCATTTTTATTGTTTACTTTATTTTTCACTTGTTTACTTTATTTTCCATGTCCTTTTGTCTTGTTGTGTTCATGTATGTACAGTTAATTTGACTTTTTTCGATTGTATACAGTTCCTTTTACAGCATCAGTGTTGTGGTGCAATTAAAATATAATCTGGTAAATAGACTTAAGCATTCATTAAGTCGTTCAAGTGTAAAACGAGATGAAAAGCCATTTACTGCACTACATGCACTGTCAGGATCAGCAGGCTAGCGCAGAAACTGCATTGAAAATACTGGAGTAATTTAAATGATCATATTTTAAAGACAGGGCACTAAAATTTTTTATTTAATGCAGTGCTTTTTTTACATTCTGCGGCCCACTTTATATCATATATCAATCAGTCAGTGAAGATTCTTGATTCTTTTTAAGGAAAACAGACCTTAAACCCAGCGACTTTGTAATGGCATACAGTTTACTGGAAGCGATTTAACTGGCTTACTGAAAATTAATTCCTTCTCATTGTAATAAACACATTAAATTAATTACTATTTCCTTGTTCATCTATACACATCCATTTTGCCCAGCAATAATAACATGTGTTTCCCCTCGGCACCTTTTTAAATTAGGGGATAGCACGACATTTAGAAATTAATGTTATTAACAGCTTATTGTGATTCTTCTAAATATACTCCACAATATTGCTGTATTTACTCTATTTTTTACTCTAATAAATGTTACCTTTATAATTAGGACTTTATTTAACAGCATACCATTTTTTTATTTATCTTAAACCCTATTTAGCCGGCAGCCTTTTCAGTTTTCAAAACTTTCAATATGGTGAGCCTATACAAAAAACCTTTTGCAGCAGTTTGTCCAAATGAAGAAGAGATGACCATGTGATAAATGGGTAAAATATATTGAAGTATATTGGCAAAGTATATAGATTTAAAATGACAATTAAGTAGTATTTTTGGTCACATTGTGATCTGTATATATAGTCTTTTTAATATGATTCATTTTTACTAAATGTTTACTTTAATACCAATAAAATAAGAAACATTCTAATGTACAGAGAGGGAGAATAAAAGCTGTAGTGCAATATTGATGTTTTAATAGTTAAATATGTGTCTATATACTCACAGTGCACAGCATAAATGAGAACAGCCCCTTTGAATATGAATATTTTTATACATTTTTCAATCAAAGTAGCGTAGAAAAAAACATTTTGGTGCATTTAATTTTTTAAACTGTTATGTTCATTACAATAAGAGTGTAGTCTATCTGAGAAATATGGCAGCCAACTTAACGGTAAAAGACAAGTATTTATAAAAATTACTTTTAGCAACCAGTAAGAAAAGTGTGACTCGAAAGTGGCTACAACTGGATCCCCCCACAAAATCTGAAAGGTTGGATATCATATCTAATGTTCAAAATATGGAGAGGATGACTTTTTCTTTAAAACTACAAAGGGACAAATACCTGCAATATTGGGAGAAATGGATTGTACTTATACCTTTACACAGTGTAATCTGATTTCTACATATATTTGTTAATGTGACCTGTAAGGAAATATGTGACCAGTCAACTTTTCTTTAAGTTCCTATGTGTTATTGTTTTTTTTTTTTTTTTTTCTTTTTTTCAACAATCTATTTGTTGTATTTTCCCCCTGTTTTTTCCTTTAAAAAAGAGAAATAAAAAATAAAATAAATAAATAATAATAATAATAAGAGTGTGGTCACCTAACATCTTTAGGAATAGAAAGATAATAAAACATTTTTACAGAATGTCTACTTGTTTTCTTTAATAGTAGTCTTAGATTTTTTTTTTTTTATCTTTTTAACATTTTATTTCAGATTTTCCCCCTAGCATATTCATTGGTATTTTCACATTTTGCACCATTATCTTAAGCTATTTAGTTAGATTAGTTCCAGTTTTATTTAATCATTTATTTTCCTTCGGCTTATTCCCTTTATTTATCAGAGGTCGCCACATCTAGCAAATATTTTACACAGTGAATGCCCTTCCAGCTGCAACCTATTTCTGGAAAACACCCATACACTCTTACATTCACACACACACACACACACACACACACACACACACACACACACACACACACACACACTACGGCCAATTTAGCTTATTCAATTCACCCATAGCACATGCCTTTGGAAACCGGAGCACCCCGAGGAAACCCGCGCCAACATGGGGAGAACATGCAAACTCCACACAGAAATGCCAACTGGCCCAGGCAGAACTTGAACCAGCGACATTCTAACTAACAGCAACAGTGCTAACTACTGAGTCACTGTGTCGCCAGTTCCAGTTTTAATTAATTCTAATATACAAAAATGTATTTTCCTACAGAAAATGTACATTTAAAAGAGAGATCTATAAGACCTGTACTCATTTATGCTGCCAATACACTGTAAAGTATTCTGAAGATTGATGGTCTCATTCAGCCCCGTGCAGAGACTATCCAAGGGGCATCTGCAGGAAATATTTGAAGAGCGGGGGGCACTTCAGATCATTTTGAAAGGGCACTTTCTATCCAAGACTAAAAAGGGCATGTGCACTGCACAGGTTGAGCCCTATGTGTGCACGTGCCTGGTCTCATTAGAACTGAGGTGGGAAAATACTGAAAAGTCAGAACCGTAAATTAAACAGGAAAAAAAAGTAAAAACCAATTTCAGGCACAAATGGCACCATTTCCTGTGAATTTATGCCTGTATCCAGCAGCAGGACCCTTCTCAGATCCCCAGAGTCTTCAGTAATCTGCTCACACCCAAAAAACAAAAGTCCCGTTTTCCCCACATTCTCATGACAACAATGTCAGAACATACAAAACATACAGCCTGAAAATAACAGCAGGAAGCTTAACTAGTACAAACACGTGAACCACATTTAAAAAATGTGACAAAACATTTATGAATGTGACTATTTAGACACTTTCCTGAAAATCACTATAGATTAAATATGCCATAAGCATTCTGGAAAGGATAATCACATTATAGACTGGTAATCCACACATTTTTCAGCATCTAGGTAAATACTCTGAGCTGTGTTAAAAAAAACAGCTTACAAATGACTTGAGCTGAACTCCTTGACCACATTCTAGATGCTGTCAAGCATTTTACATATGACTTACATAAGACACATTCAAGCTGATTGGGTGCTGTTGTTTGTTGTTATATACAGTAGTGATGCATTTTTTTTCAATAAGGCAAGAAGGTACAGAAATCATTTTTTGTATGCTGGAAATTTTAACAAGTATTAAAGTGCTTATTTTATTACATTTTGTCTGCACGCTGTAAAAAATACAGTTCATTAACAGTTTCTGTATTTTATGATTCACAAGTGTTTATCTGCGGATATACAGTAAATTGCATTATGGGATGTTGATTTCTGTTGACTTTTGGTTTTAAATATTTAATTCTAGAGTTGACCAATGACATTTATTGACATTTGTTTTAGTAGTTTAAAACAATATACTGCACAATAGATAATATAGAGAGAAAAGTCCATAAAATAACACAAAAGTGCTGCCAATTTATTAGCAGGCTTTTATAATTTAATTTACAGCACCAGTCCAGACAATATATCACTTTAAGCTATTTAAAATGTCAATAAAATTCACATTTTCAATCTTTTCAACAGTAAACGTTCACTTAATGAACCTAAACGAGCACATGTCACTCCGCTACTCATTCGTTTGCACTGGCTACCAGTTGCTGTTCGCATCAAATTCAAAGCTCTGATGTTTGCTAACAAAGCGATTTCTGGCTGCGTCACTTCTTATCTGCTCTCACTTCTGCAGATTTATAGGCCCTCCAGAAACTTGCGTTCTGTGAATGAACGTCGCCTCGTGGTTCCATCCCAAAGAGGGAAGAAAACACTTTCCCGAACGCTCACGCTCAATCTGCCCAGTTGGTGGAATGAACTCCCTAACTGCATCAGAACGGCAGAGTCACTCGCTGTCTTCAAAAAGAGACTGAAAACTCAACTATTTAGTCTCCACTTTCCTTACTAATATGCAATTCCCTCTCTGGCTCTTCCAATAACCACAAAAAAAAAAAAGAAGTATTTGCTTCTTACACTGACTTTACACAGCTGAAACTTGCATACAGCACTTATTCATTGTTGCTCTTATAGTTGTGTAAATTGCTTCCTTGTCCTCATTTGTAAGTTGCTTTGAATAAAAGCGTCTGCTAAATGACTAAATGTAAATGTACTTAATGCAATTTAAAAGCATAAATAAACTGATAGATTCATCTGTCTATTTAACACAAATATTTTAACCTTCTTTTTTATTTTAAAGGGGACTTATTATGCAAAAATCACTTGTTTATATTTATTATTGATGATCTCTCCCTCATCAGTATAAACAGCTCTGAGTGAAAAGCAGTCATCCACTATTAGTGTTTTCACAACATACCTGACAAAGATAATGGGCCTTATTCAGTTTTTGCCCATACAAAGTTCACTATGTAAATAGCAAATGCCACTAAGCACAACCCTTTTACGCCCCATTCACAGGGGGCATTAGGGTCAATGCTTGACAGAGGGTGTGTCTGAAGTTAAGGCTGACACAGTCATCATAGCAGCATAAAATGAATTTGCAATCAGCAACTGTCTGAGCTGGGGTATTTGCATGAAGTGAT